CCCGAGCCTCAGGGCCTGCCGTCTGCCGCTTCTTGGAACCACAGCTTCCCCAGGCCTTGGACGAAGGGGTTGACGTCGGGGGAGGACAGGGAAGGGGGCGCCTCGTAGATGAGAGAGGACACTGCTTGCGAAGGGGGGTGGGCCGGCCTGGCGGTCGCGCAGTGGCACAGATGACGTGGTGGGCGTCAGACAGCTGCTGGCTGCTTCCCAGGCCTCGGGAGACCTGGCCCCTCAGCCTCTGCATCCAGCCTATGCTGGGTTCCTCTCGACTGGCCGATTGCTCTGAGCGGGGTTCAAGGGGGCCTGTCCACAGCTGTCTCTGCTTGGAAGACCACCCTCTCCGACTCCTACCCTCATCCACTGCGCTGCCAGGGAGACCTACAGAGTAGCCAGTGCGAACAGGAGAGGGACGAGCCTGGAGGTCACTCATGGCTTCCCCGAGACCGGGGGCTGCCACTGTCTGCAGCCCTGTCCATGGCACACACTGGCGGGCTGCCGCTCAGCCCGTGGACCGGGCGGCCAGTCCCAGGTGTGGGTGCAGCACTAGCCCTGTTGCTTCCCCTATGCAGATTTATCTCCCCCGGCCTACCCCCTGTCCCCCAAGAGAATGGACTTCCTGGATATTGATCTGAAGGGAGATGGGGAGGAAGAGGATTCTCTCCTTTTTCACGGACATTGTGTAAACAGCTTTGCAGAGTTGAGATCAAACCTCAGCTCTTCCCCCTTTATTGCTGTGCCCACCTGGGGCAACTTCATCAACCTCCTTCAATTTCCCCATCTGTCAATGAGACGAATAATATGCCTGGCCCCTCAGCCTCTGCATCCAGCCTATGCTGGGTTCCTCTCGACTGGCCGATTGCTCTGAGCGGGGTTCAAGGGGGCCTGTCCACAGCTGTCTCTGCTTGGAAGACCACCCTCTCCGACTCCTACCCTCATCCACTGCGCTGCCAGGGAGACCTACAGAGTAGCCAGTGCGAACAGGAGAGGGACGAGCCTGGAGGTCACTCATGGCTTCCCCGAGACCGGGGGCTGCCACTGTCTGCAGCCCTGTCCATGGCACACACTGGCGGGCTGCCGCTCAGCCCGTGGACCGGGCGGCCAGTCCCAGGTGTGGGTGCAGCACTAGCCCTGTTGCTTCCCCTATGCAGATTTATCTCCCCCGGCCTACCCCCTGTCCCCCAAGAGAATGGACTTCCTGGATATTGATCTGAAGGGAGATGGGGAGGAAGAGGATTCTCTCCTTTTTCACGGACATTGTGTAAACAGCTTTGCAGAGTTGAGATCAAACCTCAACTCTTCCCCCTTTATTGCTGTGCCCACCTGGGGCAACTTCATCAACCTCCTTCAATTTCCCCATCTGTCAATGAGACGAATAATATGCTCTCATTTCATGGGGTTGTTGTGATGAATAAGTGAAAAGTTCGTGAAAGGTTGAAGACAGGGCCTGGCAACTCTGAGTCTCAATAAATACTATCCCAACCCTCTCCCCACTTTTATTTCCTTTAGAGAAGGACGGGGACCCCGAGGTTAGGCCAGGTGCTGGAAGATGGCTCTCCTGCGTCCTCATTCTGCCCCGTCTTGGTCAGCTCCTCCAGGCCCACAGTTTCTCAAGGGCCTATTCATTGACATGTTCATAATAGATTATTATGGGAATAATGATACGTAATCATGACAATAATAAGGCCTCTTTGTACCTACACCCTGTGTTTCCATCCTCCTGCCCAATGAGCAAACCTAACGGGCACAGGCAGGGTTCCGTGGTGTGCGGGGGGTGGGGGGGCCCTTCCCGGCAGCACACAAGTCAGGGTACGGGGAAGGGAGCTGTCAAGTTTCCCATCCGCAGTTCTACACACACACACACACACACACACACACACACACACACACACACACACACACGACAGCTAACTCCTAACTCCCAGAATGCCCCTGCAGACAGGGAGTAGGCAGTGCCATGAGAGAGGAGAGGCAAACAAGAAAGGTGTCTCCTGAGGCCCAGAGGGCAGCAGTGGAGGCAGCTCGAGGTAGCCACAGCCCTGCTTTAGGGACCCGCAAGGTCTCAGCCTGTCTGCCAGCCATGCCCTCATGTGGCTCTGGCCCCTCCCTTCCATAGGAGGCTCCTTAGTGCACCAACCTTGGTAGCCACAGCCCTGCTTTAGGGACCCGCAAGGTCTCAGCCTGTCTGCCAGCCATGCCCTCGTGTGGCTCTGGCCCCTCCCTTCCATAGGAGGCTCCTTAGTGCACCAACCTTGCACAGTCCTGCCATGATCCAAAATTCTCTCCTTAAGAAACAGGGCTCTAGCCCAGGCTCTGCCCCTCTGTTTTATCTCTATCACTTCCTCCTCTCCCTGCACTGGGCCTGGGACTCATTCATGCTCTCTCCAGTCCCAGGTTAATTCACAGTTGTATGCGATTTTAAAGAGCCCTCTCACATGTTTTAGATTCACGTGACAGACAGGTATTATTATTAGTGTGCTCATTTTACTGATGAGAAAAAAGAGACTCAGAGAGGTCGAGCAACCTAAATGAGGTCACACGGCTTTGTAAATGGCAAAGCCAGATGAGAGTGCTGACTAACAGGACCCAGGGTTTTTTGATGATGTCACACTGCCTTAAGCATCTGAGTACACAGAGTTACCTTTAGACATGACACGGTCACCCACACTTTCCTCTTCAGCTTACTGGGTGGAGGGGTGCCAGGCTTTTGGACACAGGAGAAAGGGCAAAAAAGAGACAACTACATTGGATAGCAGGAGTGAGGGAGAAAGGAGAGGCTATGGGAGAAATGCGGCAGGGCATACTCTATATATGCAAGAAGGTCTTCACCAGCTAAGGATCCAGTTCCCAACGCCACCACATCTTCTCTTAGTGGCCTGGGGAAGTCCTTGGAAACTAGGAGTCCTGTCCTCCAGTCTCATGACTTCCTGGGACTAGAGGAGATGACTCATCTAAATCTTTCCCCAGAATTGGCATCTTGCCTGGCAGCCCCATTTGGGAGGGGTTCAGGCCCAGGTTGGATAATTTGGGCCATCAGAAGGGTCAGGAAGCATTTGAGAGCCAGGGAGAGCAGAGAATAGAGGGGGCTGCTGCTGGGCTCCCTCCCTGCCAGGGTATATACCTCCCACTGCGAGGGAAGTTAGAACTTAGCCTTCTCAGGCAGTCAGCTGGGGCAGTGATGGGTCCCGGAGATACTTCCTCAATTCTTACTGACTTGTTGACTCCACATCAGACTATGGACAGAATGTCCCCTGGTAGCAGCCAAAACTGGCTCCTCCCTCTGCCCACCCCAAGGGAAAGCTGATCTGCCCTGTCAATCAATCCAAGTCCAGCTGGAACAGGCTAGACTACAAAATGGCCCCAAGGAATAGTATGCTGGAAATGGCTCTAGCTAGGTCTGAGCCACCCCCGACCCCACCCTGTCTGGGGAGGAGGGTCCATTCTAGGTGGCTACTCAGGACAAGATGGAAAGAAAGATGGGAATAAGGTGGGATAGAGGCAAGAATGGGACCCAGATGCAAAAAGTAACATAGTTTCTGTTTTCTGCAATATTTACTTAATCTTATAAATTCTGTCTAGCGGTCACAGATTGTTAGACTCAATCTAAAGAAAAGACATTGAAGATAATTTTATTAACAAAATAGAATGTATATTAATGCCATCAAAATTTTTAAGTAGAAGTAAGATGATGTCATTCCTTTGCTTGAAATCCATCAGAGCCTTGTCATCTCACTCTGAGTAAAGTCAAAGTCATGCACCTGCAAGGCCCTCCAAGGCCTGCCCGCTGCCATCTACCTCACCTCCTGCACTCCCCTCCCTCCCTGGGCTCCAGCCCCCACCCCTTGCCCGTGGCAAACTTGCCTCCTCGGGGCCTTTGCACTTGCTGTTCTCACCGCCTGGACCGCTGTCCCCCAGATCACTATGTGGTTCACTTCCTTACCTCACTCTGCTCTTTTTTCAGATATTACCTGAGTCTTCCCCCAAGTCCCTATTTAAACCCACAACCCCTCCCCATAGACACCGACACACACACATACACCGTATCCCCCTCCCTGCTTGATTTTTCTCTATAGCACATATTACCATCTACAATTCTGTATTTTTATTATCTATCTACCTATCTATCTATCTCCTCTTCTAGAATGTAGGTTCTATGCCACCAGAAAGTTTTATCTGTTTTCTTCACCCCCATAGCTGCAGCACCTAGAACGTTGCCTGGTACACAATAGAACCTCAATAAATAATTGTTGAATGATGGAATGAAATGGTCATGCACCTGATGGAAATTGGGAGGTGGAAAAGGATCGTGCAATAGTTTCTTTCCCCTTCTTTCATTATAGGGTGTCAATAAATGCTATCTAGAGTTAATGAACTAATAAAGAAGAGGTCTAAGTATATTACTTAAAATAATGATGGAAATCACTAGATGGTTACAGATGATTTTTAGGGGGGTCAGGCTATTTTCTGTGATACTGTAATGGTGAATACCTGACATCCATCTTTCAAAGCCCACAGAACTATAAAACATCAAGAGTAAATTTGGGGACTGGTTGGATAGCTTAGTTGGTTGGATCCCTGTACCTGCCAGCTGCTAAAAAAACCAACAAAAAACAACGATGACAACAAACTTTATTCTGAAACCCCAAAATTTTTCTGGAGAAAAAAAAAGTGAACTTAATGAAAATCAATCAATAAATAAAATAAACAAAAAAAAATTTAAAGAAAAAGAGCATTCTTAATGTAGACTACAAACTTTAGTTAATAATAAATGTGTTAATATTGGTTCATTAATTGTAACAAATATACCACACTAATGCAAGATGTTAATAATAGGGGAAACTATGGGAATGGGGAGAAATATATGGGATCTGTATTATCTGTTCAATTTTTTTATAAATCTAATACTGTTACAAAAATGGAGTCTATTGATTAAAAACCAAAAAGAAATGATTGGTATAAGAAAATTAAAAAATAATAAAAATAAGAAATGATTGTTAGCATTGGTGGCATAGTGGTGAGCATAGTCGCCTTCCAAAAATAAATGATTAACAGTAGTTCCTCTAGGGAAGGATGGGGAGGGAAGACAGAGATTTTTATTTCTTCATTGTTCCTCATTCTGTACTGCTTGATTTTTTTAAAATCCTATGCGTACATTGCTTCCCTTTAAGAATCTAGTTAAATGCACAATACATAAACGTTCATGTAGTAGAGCAGCTAAAAATAATGAAACAGATCTACAGTTATTAATAGGGAGTGATGTCTGGAATATGTTGTTCTATTGGGAAAGATTTCAGTGTAGTAAGTATAATATGGTGTATAACATGATTCCACGTGAACAAAAGTCCATCTCTGTTGTGCAGGTCATATCGGGAAGGATTCACACCAATATGTTACCTGTGGAATCTGCGGGACGTGGATAGACAGCATGAGAATGCTCGTCACTTTATAAGCATGTCACCGTGTGGTTTGGATGTCATATGTATTACACTATTCTTAAAACACACATTTTTTTTTTAATACAATTGAAAGCACAGGGACTGGCTTGAGAACAGGAGTTGATTTAGAGACCGGAATGCAGTTGCTGGTCTCAGGGCTTACATGAGATTCCTCAGGATGGGCACTGCAGAGCCTCCTGGTGCAGGTATGAGCACACCACAGCAGACAGACCTGGGTCTGAGC